CCTCTTTTTTTCTTCTGTCAGTTCGAAATCCATCCCGATTTGGCATGGACCTGGGGGAGGAGGTTCCAGCAGCATGGAGCATGGATGATCCTTGAGTGTATCAGAGCCGAAACACCCAGACGACGCAAAGGCATTGGTACAAAATGCGGCTGCATGTTTTCGGTAAGCCATGCGGTAGACGGTCTCGTTGCTTTTTCTTTTTTCTCTCTTTGGTGTTGGGGAAATTATTTTAAATCATGATCTTTTTTTTTAGTTTAGTTTAGTTTATTTTTTTTTTTTTTTAAAATGATTTTTTTTGGCAAGGGTCATTTTTTTTTCTGACATTTATTTTTCTTTTCTCATTTGAATTTAATTTAAGATTATTCTGATGGACATATATCTCGATGCTAAGGCACTAAAGTAAGACTACTATTTGTAGATCGTCCAGCTAAGTAGCTATGGCAGCAGTTGGCGCCCCTCCCTTTTTCTTCCCCAGGACTCACACTTTCCACTGTCATAAGAATCCGAACGGTGGCGCATCGATAATTGCCTGGACTCCGCCATCCCGAGAGCCTGGGGAGAGATTTAGTTACGGTGATGACAGCCGAAAGGCGAATGTGCGCGTTGTACTGAATAAGTAGTCTTCTCGATCCCGCAGACACACTGGTGATCGCTGCAAAGAGGCAATAAGATCTTTAGGAATGATGAATACTTTCGATCTCCTTAGCAAGTGGAATATTCAGATAGCCCTTATGGGTCAAATCTCAGGTTCTCCAGTCCGATCCGGCGGTCCCCGTCAGTCTAGTGTACGCAGGACAAAAGCACTCTCTGGGAGGAAAAGAGATAGGGAGGAGAATTTAGTTTATTTGGGCGAGGAGGGTAACACTAAGCTGGATTGACATAAGTTTAGTAGGAGCTAAGTTATTTGACATACTACTGACATGCTGAGATGCTGACATCCTGACATCGCCAATACTCCGTAGTATTTCGACAATCGAGTCTAACCGCCACTTATCTAGCGGTTTGAGCAGGGATGGTCTTTCCGGGACGCGGCTTCCTGCGCAGCTGGGACTTTTTTTTTTTCTTGTCATTTTATTTTCCTTCTTATTTTAATCTTAATTTATTTCACTTCTCAAATCTCCCCAGCACGACAACAGCAAACCCGCCGTCGTCATTGGCTACTGCAGATCGCGCTCTCGCCCGCCAACATGGAACCGGTTTTTGTCTTTTCCTCTTTCTCTCACACACACACCACACCCACACCCACACTGATGACTGCACACTGCAACGCAGCTTCCTTCTCTTTCCCCGGTAGAGCAAACCGTCAAGCCACCGGCAGGTCTCTTAGGCTGAACCCCCCATACGTAAGGAGTACAGCCACGCCTTCTTGACGTTTCGGCGACAGCTGCCCCAGCTCCCCCAGTCCGTTGGGAAAATCCGGTTTACCTGACAGCAAGTAACGCTCCCCAGCCAACGACGGAGTACATCTACCGGTATCACTCCGTGGATGACGGAACGGAGTCGGAGAGAGAGCGACTGTCCCTTGCAAACCTAGATTATCCTTCAACGTCACCAGCAAAGCTGCCTACTAATTTAGGAAAGTCCTCTGGATAGATGGATAGATACATAGATGGAATGGAATCGATAGATAGATAGATACATACATACATACATACATACATACATACATACATATTGATAGTGAAGGTGGTGGTGGACTTCCCCCTCCTCCCGTAAACCCCGCCCTTAACTTATCCACAGAGGTAAGTCAGAACGACTATACGGATGTATGTATGTACTGTACGGAGACTGTACAGCCAGTCCCTCATTAAGTAGATACACTGTGTCGCATTGTCGGGTATTTCGAGTCAAAGTAATAGAAACGATTCTCTTGGCCCTCTAATATCATTCTACAAACATCCACGCCATAGCTGAGACCAGGGATCAAATGCTCAAAGAGCCACACTACAAATGCACTGTGTCATGGATACTGTACTGTACAGTACAGTTACCTCCAAAATCTACACACCATAGAAAGAACAATCTCCCCTAATTAGCCTCTCGGATGGCTTGCAGCTTGTACGACGCGATAGACAAGACCAAAAGGGCAAGATATCTACCATGAGAGAAAGAAAAAAAAAAAAAAAAAAAAAAAAAA